CCGAGCCACCATCACTCGGAAAAGCTCCGCTTGCCTCCGTGCCAGCACCCGGGGCCTTGGGGCGCGGCGCGAGGGCGGATCCGGGTCCCCTACAACTAAAAGGCTGGCTTGTTTTCACCTTTCGCACCCGCTGAAGTAGCACACACTGTCCCCCACGGACACCCCGCCCCGGAAGCGAGGCAGCAGGGAAGGGTTCTTCGGCATCCACGGGAGGCTCCGTGAGGACACCCTCTCCTCTGACCCTGACGAGTTACGGCGTGAAAGCAGGGGAGGCCCGTCGACAGCAGGGGGGGGGGGGCTGCACACCTCCTGCCATTCTGGAGCCGCTTCGCCAAGGAACCCCCGGTGTGTCTCCAGGTGCATCCCTCGCCGTGCCCGTGTGTCTGACCGTGATCACGGGGTGGTGACCACAGCACGGACGGTGGTGACCACAGCGGCGACGCCCGGCGCGGACTTCGTTACCGACTCCCGAGGGCCCGCGTGGCCCGGGAGTTTTAGCTTTTGACGCGACGACTCACAGGCGGCGGGGTCTCCCGGCCTCTGCACGGCGCCCACCTGCTCGCCTTAGAGCCCCCACCTCTGCTGGCCTCCTGCCCGGGGCCACCTTCTCTCTGCTTCCGCAGAGCCCCCCAACCCCCCGTCCAAGCCCCTCTCGTCCCGCGTTACCGGCCGGCAGCAGGGGCTGCAGGGAGGCTGGTGCTCTCAAGGAACTCCGCAGTCAGCTCCTGCCTCTCGCCTCTCTCCGTGTCTGCGGACACACAGGCGGGTGGGTCTTTTCTTTTAATCAAGAGAGTTGTGAAAAATAAAGACTTTTTTAATTTTTAGGCTGCGCCATAACCACAAAGCCCCTCGGACCCATGGGGAAAAAAAACCCAAAACAAAAACCAGAAAACAAACAAAAAAAAAAACCCGCGGGGGCACGGGATGGGTGTGGCTTCTAACAGGCAGCTGTGTGCCAGGGTGATAATGGGATTTGTATGTTTATGGTTGGTGCAATTAAGAATATTGATTTATGCAGCCTGACTGCTTGCCATCATTAGCTATTCATAGTAGCCCCATAAAGCCTGCACCATTACCATGGAGCAAATAAACCCACACAGGCTTGCAGAGGAGGGGAGACAAGCTGACGCCCAGCTGCGGACTCAGCAGAACACCAGTGACTACTCGCTGTCCTTGGCCCCTTGGCAGGACAAGCCCTCGGGCACAGCCCAGGTTAAGGCAACTTTATTCCGCGTCTTGACATGCTCTCTGCAGGGCGTCGGCGTCGGGATCTCTTAAACCTGGGTATCTTTGTCATCTCGGTAATGCCAGTCCTTCCAGGGGAGTGCGATTCCTCTTCTTCCCCCAGGGTGGCCGGAGTTGCTGTTTTGGGGGGCGGGGGGGGGGGGAGGGTGGGTGGGGGAATCTGATACACAGTCAGCATCTCCATAAAGGAACTCCCTGAGCCTTGGAGGCTCGCTGTCCTTTCAACACCCACGGCTGTTAACAGGCCGTTTACAAAAACTTGCCACTTGGCTACCAACGTGCCCATCTCCCGGTACATTCCTGAGATGCGGCTGGAGGAGAGGGACACTAACAGGGAAGGAACACACAGGGATCCAGTTCTCTGGGAACTGGGCTACCACACTGGAAACACGAAATATGAAAATAAATGCAAGTGAGACATTTTAGGAAACGCTGGGCCGGTGTCCACCGCTGGCCGGCTCAGACAGCGTCACCTGCTGGGAACAAGCAGATGTCCCTGCGGTTGGGTCCGCTTGTTTTTTCTCTCTCTCTCTCTTTTTTTTTTTTTTTACAAATGATGCTGTGTTCTCATTTACATGCAGATGACTTTGACCCGACCCCGGGCTGGAGCGGCTGATGGAACATTCTATGTTGATGATAGTATACCACTGGAGAGGGTTCCGCGTCCTAGCACTGAGCATTAGCCTCTAATTTACATTCACAACCCTACAATTTTCCTCTTAAACATGCCCTTTTTTAATGGAGTGGAACCTGGGTAGCTTTTCCATTATATTTTCCATATATTTTATTTAACGGAGGCCGAAGGTGACGTCCGCGCTGCCTGTGGCTAACGAGAATTCTGATTCTCTCGTCCTGTTCCCTGCCCCTTTACCGGGGACATCTGTGGTTAGAGCAATTGTATGCAAATTTCTTAAAAGGCGCTCCCTGCACTTCCATTATTCCTGGGAGAGCTGACAGGTTATACTGAAATAAAAAATCAGAAGTGAGCAGACTCAGACTAGAGCTGATTAAAATCCTAATGAACAGTGACTTATTTTGTCAAGATGGTAGTCTGCAAAGTGCCCCCACCCTGCCCCCCACTTCTTCCTTCTCGCAGGGCTCCCTCTGAAAGGGCAGAAGAGAGGTGACACTTTCCGCGGCCCTGCTAACTCCTGGGGCTGAGGACGCCTGCCTTCCCCGTGGGTGCTTTTCCGGGGCTCTGGGCTAGCATTTTCACAAGCCGAACAACTGGAATTTTTGAAGGCTTTGCAATGTACCTTCATTTACCATATTCATGGAAATCTAGCTCCGAAGCCCTAATGGAAAAAAGAATCTGCAATAAGCATTAAGGTTGCTTAGAAACCCTAGTCCCTGATTTAGCTCTTACGTGCTCTAAGGCAACAGGCAATTGTTGGTGGAAAAATAAAGCAAAATTGTGTTGTGTATGCATCGAAAAAATCCGTTTCTTTCCGGCTTGTGCTAATTTGTTTCTTCCTTCTGGCAGAGTCACTCCCTTTCGCTTGGTCTTGACCGACGAGAGGGGCTTCCCGCGCCCGTGACAGCCCTCCGTTCTGACAGCTACAGATCAATTTATATTTATATTCCACCCCAAGCTCTTCGTTTCCAGGAGGGCTTCGGGCAGCTAGGGAAGATCTCTGTCAAAAAGCAACATACACGTGCCCTGTAAAATACTCCACACCCGCTCGAAACCTGGCCCAGGCTTCCCACTGACCAAACGCATGTTCAAAAGGCACAGGCGACAGGCCGAGCCGGGGTTCACTAAGGATCTGAGGACAGAACTTGGGGGCAGGAATAACTGATTGTTTTTATTTTAATAAGAAAAAGCCCCACACATTCACCTTGAGGGGGTAGGGGGCTGGCTGCAAGCTGGCTAGCAAGGGCTGGCTGTGAGATCGCAGACTGGGGCAGGGTGCTGGAGGGAGCAGAAAGCTGACAGGCAGAGGCTGCTGGCTGCCGAGCTAGTGGGCAGAGGCTGGTGACCACAAGAGGCAGAGAGGGGCACACAGCAGCTTGTGGTGACTTCACACCTCTGGGTGACAAAAGGGGGCAATGAGGGCAGTAGAAAAGTACCCCAGAGTAGAAAAGAGCCCCTGGAAGCCCTCCCGCTGTCAGGAGTCTCTCTTGCAGTAAACCTGAATTTGCTGATCTTCAGCCCAGGGTGTTGGGGGTTATCCCTCAATCGCTTACACAAGAAGCCACCCGATGGACAACAACATGCTGAAAAAACTCAAAAGGATGGAAGTACAGAGGACGCAGGAAGTGAAAAGCAGGTCCCCAGGCCTGTCCTCAGAGAAGAGGGCCCTAGTGACCGCTGGGTGACCATCCCCCTTCGCAGGACTGTTCTCTCTGCCCCAACTGCCAGCGGCCATCCAACACGAGTCCTTCTGTTAGCAGGTAGCAAACACCTCCTCCTGCCTTGGGGCCCCCTATATGTTGTCTCTGGCCTTTCCTGGCCTGTCTTACCACATAGCCAGGCGGGAGTCACCTTGGGACTGGACTGTGGGTCTGTGGCTTCCCACCACACCGGGCACCTGCCACCCTCCCCGTCGGCTCAGGCTGCGGGTCTGTAACTAGAGGGTTGGTCCTGAGGACAGACTCCCTCCCAGAGACGCTGGGTAGGAAGGCGCTGTCCCCACGCGAGGCCAGCACGCACAGGTGGACGCGGGACGGCCATGGGCCAGAACGCAGTGCCCTGTGGTTCTGACACCGTGGGGGCAGTTGCGTCAATGTGCTACTTTGCAAAACAGCTGCTCAAGCAAAACAAACAGGCCCATTTCAAACGGAAGCCTCGCTCATGAGCCGGTCGTTTGGCCCTAGGTGTCGGTCCCATGGACATGTGTCCACTAGCGTCCAAGCCTTACAGAAAGGCTCTCAGACGTGGGCGCGACAGCAAAGCTCATCACACCATGGAAGACCACAGGCGGCTGGGCTGGGGCACGGGCAGGTGTGTGGCTGCAGAACCAGGCAGGACTGGCCTGTGCTGCGAGCTAACGGGCGGTGGCTGCAGGGCCCAAGGTGGGCTTCTGGAGCAGGAGGAACACCCTGTTTCTGGTGGAGGGTGGGCATGTGGGGACGCCCCTGGAAAATGTACTGAGCTGCCCACAAGGTTGACGGCACTTTCAGCACATGGTATACTTCAAGGAGAAAAGGCAGAAACCAGACGAAGGACAAATAGCGATTTTAACAGAATCAGGTAAGGGAGACACTTTGCATAGCGGATTCTGTGAGAGCTAACTCTACCAATGCCGTGCCACCTGCCAGTTACATACGTGTCTGGCCAAAGCAGACATGTGGCAGCTTCTGTGACCCTCCCATTTTAGAGATGACAAAAACTCAGAGGGGTGAGGGGCTTGTCCAGGGTCACACGGCCTAGAAAGGTCTCTCTCTGGCTCTAGTTTCCTCATTTGAACACGACCACATGGACAAAAGCACTTCTTCCTCAGAGGGATATCAAAGAGAAGGCACTAAGGTGAAGTTGTGCTTCTGGAGGCAAAGGATGCCACGGAGGGGGTGCCACGGAGGGGTACCATGGAGGGGGTGCCAGGGTTAAAGTGAGGATGGAAATCCTGGCACCTCCAATGAATCTGTCCAAATAATGGAAGCTTTTCTTCCATGAACCACGACCCCTGGCTTTTCCTCCCTTGAGGGGCAGAAGGCGCAGCCCCTACCAGCTTTGCAGGCCTGCCTGCCGCCCCGCCCTCCATCCTAAGGACCCCAGGACTCCAAGAGGGAGGAGTTAGGCAAGAGGGAGAGGCAGGACGCCCAGGAGGCTGAATCAACCGACATGACTTGGATCAAGGCTAATATGAATACCAGGCTACGCACCAGATGTATCTCTCCAGTTCTGGTTCTTTGGTTTTCAAAAATCATTTTGGAATGACTTCAGAATATTTGGTTAAGAACAATGCATGATGAATAATATCACAATAGCTTAAAAGGCAACTACATGTATTTGTAGACAGAGCATTTTATTAACAAAATGTTTACACCCTTTTACAACAGAACAAATTTTGTAGTGATTTAGCAAGTTATACTCTATGAAAGTTTGTCCTAGAATATTCAAACTAAAACAACGAAGTTTAAAAGTCTGCCAAATCAGCCACCACTTGCAAACTATCTACTACCAGTCTAAATATAAAAAGAAAAAAAATCTTACAAGAAAAATCAAAAGATGTAGTTTTTCTTTTGTCTACAAACAACACAGACATCACAGGTTTAGAGACTCAGGTCCAGCCCAAGGTTAAGACTGAAAAAATAAAAGTCTTCGAACAGTCACACGAGCTCAGCAACCATCATCACAACATCTCATCACAAGTCATCAGTGGTGGGTCATGCGCTAAAGCCATGGCTAAACATCTGGGTTTACAGAGCTACCAAGCAACCTAAAGTGTGAGCAACTTGCTTTGACATTTTTCCCTAACGGAGGCTACCATAAAAAGGCACAAGTATCTTACTCCTTGTATCAGGTCTTGAAAAGGCATGGCGTTCTTGGGAGAAATCGGAATTGCTGGTATGAAGGCTTAGCTGTTTTTCTTTTAATGTCTAGGTTCACCGTAGCTGTTTCGCCTCAAAACTGGACTTGGATTTTTACAAACTGTAACAAATGCGCTACTATGAACTAAGTGAAGTTCTGGCACCTAGCCTATCTCATAAGCAATGGTAAAAGAACATTTTGTCACACGGTCACGCAGCCTCTGAAAGCTAGTGCTGCCTCTTCTCTGCAAACACTAAGGTCAGCTCTTGTGTTGTCTGACGGTGCGGGCTCTGTCCACCTCCCACGGCCGAACGTGGGGCAAAGCCCTACCCTACGGTCACTTAAGGCAGCGTGGGAGGCAGTGGGATGTGCACTGAGGAGGTGGCTGGGACCGTGTGTCTTTAAGGGAGAGCCCCCCTCCCCCACATACACACAAAATGAGAAGAGAAATAAGGCAAGAGGCCTGCTCCGATCAGAGACATCAGTTCTTAAGAAGGCCCAAGGCATGATGGCCAATTATGTGAGTGACTCATAAAGTGAAATGATGGAAAGAGTGAGCTGGATGAAAGGAAGAAAAATCTTTTCCAGGGCAGTAAAGCTCTGTCTGCACAATACAACAAATGGTTTGACAATTGAGCCAGCAATCAGTCGCTCCGTCCAGTGGGCTGCGATAATTTTCCCCGGGTGTGATCGACTAGTCACTCTGACAGTGTGTGCCCTGCCCATACGAAGGGGAAGTTTCATAAACTCTGTAATCACCTCGTTTGCAAAGTGAGCGGAGGGTCACAAATTCAGGGTCTGCCTTCAGAAATTTTCCAGGGGTAAAAGTGATCAAGTATAAATTTAATGGAAAAAATGAATGGAGAAGTGATTGTAGGGTCAAGTTCCAGAGGGAGGTCAGCACTGCTGTGTGCTGTCCACCCCCTCAGCCGTCCACAAGTGGACGAAAGATGCTGTGGGTGCTTCCTGGACCCTCTATCTCAGTTCTGAGTAAAGATCGTGGCCCTTTAGAGACGACTCTGAAGTGCTGCGTGACAGTCTGCGTCCCCAGACACTACAGTTCCCGAATCAAGGAATGGCATCAAAAGTGGCATGTTTTGTTTCTGCTGCCTGATTAAGGAGAACGTTAAGGTCTACCGTTTAAAACTGCTAATTAAAGGAGGCTCTTTATGAAAATCATTACTGTCTTAGGACTTCCCATTAGTTGGCCGAATTCTTGGCACTTGAATTTCTGTTCGTGGAAAGCTACCCAGAGTTTTGTTGGTTTCAGTTATAAAGCACTTTGATGAGGCACTGGGCACCACGCAGATCTGAAAATGAACTGGCAATAAAGTAAGCAATTTTTGCGAAACTTGTTAAGACTCCATGGTTTTAACCGCAGAATCTGCTGATGGCACAGCCTCATCTTACGTCTGAAGTGCTCGATGTAAAGAGAGGAAAAGATGGAAGGTTTAAGGGTTTTCTTTTCATCAAGCTTCTGAACCCTTTTGTTTTAAAGTCTAAAATATTCTAGCGTATCTAGAACGGATGCCACTCCAGAAGGAAAGAACGCCGATGTCAGTCACTCCTGATGGTTCAGATCATCAAATTAAAGCTGATTTATGCCACTGAGTCCTTCCAGGTCTGCAAAGTAAATAATTTTCTTATATGCTGAGAGAACCCTAAAGGACAAACCGAGAAATCTGGGGAGCCTTGGTTCTATTTATTCACTTTCTTCATTATGTCTAATGAAACTTCATCCCGAAAGGTCTCTCACTTACCTTTCCCTTAGATGGAAAAAGTGGGGGCTCCTAAAAAATGTAATAACACCCTTCTAATGTTTTTTAGATTTTCATTTGCACATAAAACAGGACAAATGCCCCCAGAATTCCATTCATGTTTCTTGCAAACTGGATAATCACATTGCCTGGATTTCCATTACCGGAAGTCAAGACAAGAAACTCTGCTGTCAAGAGAAATGGGCAGCGGTGGTTTCTTTCAGCCCTCGGTTCCACCCCCACCTTCCTTTTCTAAAACTATACAGTATCATGTTTATCTCTGGTATAAATCTGTCACCTGGACGATTTTTAATCATAGTCCCAAAGAGTTAAAGCAAATCTCCTAAACATCACCTTGAATCACCTTTAAATTTTTTGGTGGAGTAAGCTGCCTGCCGGCAGGCACAGACTGCTGCTTTGCCCTTGGAGGTGATTTCATTTCTTCCTTTAAAAAAATACTAACCATTAAAGGAGGCAGACTCTTTCCTGAAGCCAGTCAGCAGTAGCATTGCTGCCAGTCCCTTTAAACAACTTAAAATCAGGACTTTTTACAGGGTCACACTGTCCAGCCCAGCGCTGTCCTGCAACGCTCACTACAGAGTTAGGAGGAGTATTCACAGCTTCGTGAGTTTAGGTGAGAGCTGGCTGAGTTGGTGGGCTACCCTTTCTCCCCAAATATCCTAAAGCAGGTACCCAGCACAGACCAGAGCAACGATATGCAGGAGCTCTTCCCCCGAAGGAAGGATGCTCATTACTTCCACGGGCGCTTGCAGAGAGAGCTGAGGGTGCAGGGGACCTGTGCATGACCCTTACAGACTGAGGGGCCATGAACTGTGTTCTCAGTGTGTTCTGAAAAATGAGTGAAAAAATGCTATAAGGAATCGACAGAATCCGTTCTGTACCTCACTCTAGGGACATGTGAGCTGCGTCGAGGCCGGGAGCTAGTGATTTGCAAGCCCCGGGGCTGGCGCGCCAGCCAACGCAATGCGATTGGCACCAGGCCTGCCAGTCTGGACACGACACCACTCCACACAGACATTCGGGGTGGGCAGCTCTGGGGACACCGCCACCACTGTGTCTCCCAGAGTCTGATTCAGAAGGCCTCCTGGGCCTGTTTTCTTGAGGACAGAAAAGAAATACATCCAAGACTTCGAGAAAAGTCCTGAAATTAAATGTGCCCTTCTTTCCCTTTGCATATTCCAAAGTAATGAAAACTGAGACCCTCATGAAGGATCCAGCCCACCAAGAGGACAGGGAGGCACTCTGGGAGGCGGACACTTTGGGGCTGTGCGAAAGGACTGTCCTGGCTGCCATGGTGGAGCAGCGGGGAACGGGGGTGTGCCCGCGGCCAGCGGGCTCTCAAGGGCTCCCCCCAGCCCTTCTTAAAGAGCTTCCAATGAAGGGCACTTAATCATACTCTTACTTTATGTTCTTTTAATCACCAAATGATAGTTAATTAGTTCTCACAGAATCAGAAAAACACTTGTGAGAAAGGAGAGTTCTGGAGCCATGGTCACTGGGCTGACACCTGCAAAGAGCCACTCCGGCCTCTGCGAGGAGCCAGTGAAGTGTCTCCCTCTTGTCAGTCCAGCCTCATTTTCAGACAGCCCTACATCCTGAGGGACCAGAGATCTCACAGTGGGCTACCACTCAGCTCCCTTGAGATCTACCCTCCCCTCACGGTGAGAAACAGCCGTGTGTGAGGTCCCTGCTCGGCAGGCTAACGACCCAAATGGATTCAAAACAAAACACTGCTCCTGACTTTACTATTCCTCTTTGCATTTCAGGCACAGACAACATCAGTGAAAAGCCTTTTTCTCCACTTTGGCCGAGTCTGGATGACGGGCAGAGACACGGCGTGCTGGCCAGCAGCAGACACAAGAGGGGCAGCTGTGGGCATTCTCAAGACAGACCCCAGAAACACACCGAGTGCGGTGGTGCTGCACGAGCCCTATGCCACTGGTCCTGTGAATAAAGCTGGAGGCTCTAACTGGCCTCTGCTGGTGGAGGGAGTAAGAAGTCACCCAGAGAAGCGGCTGCGGAGGGCAGCGGAGCCCAGATGGGGCTGACCCCGCAGCACGTGCTCTTGACAACACGCACTGGGGCGGCCTGGAGGTGAGTGGCGCACCCACCGTCCCCCTGAGTCCCGAGGCCTTGAGGCATCACACTGACTGATGGGTGGTGGAAGAAAAGTGAAGGTCACCTATTGGCATCTTCTTTTGGGTGAGATAAGACAGCCAGGGTCACAAATGCTTCCAGTGCCTCTTGGGTAGTAAGTCAAGCAACCTCTGTTTTTATTTTGTCGTCGTGGAGACAGAGGCCTGGGAGTGGCAATCTCGGGACACACAAGGCAGTGGCCAGATGCCCTGATGGCTCTGGCTGTGTGTGAAATAAAATCAAACATCTTTCTGTGGGAAGAGCCCTGCCCCTGGGAGCGCCCGTTTTCCTGGAAACGGGAAGCGGCAGTGGGGAGGAAGAGGAAGCTGGGGTTGGAGTGCACACATACGCTGGGGCAGAGCCAGGCAGAACTTTTACTAGCTGCAGCGGCGACTCCAGCAAGAGGATAAGCAATTTTAAAGGCTTAAGACAGATGCCAGGGAAAAGGGAATCACTTTCTACTTAATCTGAGTTATAATCTTCCCATTAAAATCCATCCATATCAAGTGGGGGGCATAAAGAAGCAACAATTATTTTTAAAAGTTTCCACTGCTGGATTTAAGGATAGCTCTGAAAATACCACTTAGTTTGAAATTCAAGCCATTTCATTTCCTATTTAATCTTGTAAATTTCCTTCCCTTACAATACTCAGGTTGGAAGGGTGCCAAATTAGACCAGGAACAAATTTTCACCAACTTCACTTCAGTGCTTTATTTTTAGATTATATTAAAAACCTCATTAGGCTCCCTGAGGGAAAAGAGTGTTATCCACTAACAGAGGCAGAGGAAAATAAAGGGAGGGAGAGATAAGCTAAATTGCTAACAAGGAAAGCTCTCGAAGAACAGTTGGTCGGAGGTTGCCCTAATAGCTAAAAGCAACTTATCACCCAGAGCAGGTAAATGATTTGAGTGGAGCTGAAGCGCTCACCCTGAGGCGAGGAAGGGCTAGCCAGGCTCTCAAAGTGGCACATGTCTTTATTATGGTTTCCATATGGGATCTGGAGGGAGGACAGGCAGAAGGCAGGCAGAGAAATCTTTTAAGACTGTGAGCTCAGTGCTCTGGTGCCTGCGGCCAGCCCCGCGTCAGCGTGCCGTGAACACTCCCCCGGCCTCCAGACTGCGTGGGTGATTAAATGGAGGGTTGCATGAGACAGAATTTATTCATATATTTACATAATTTATAATCTTTAAGCAGTGGTCTCATAAATACAGACTACAACTTTACATATGCTAAGCAACAGATAACTGTTTTCCCCACCAAAATATTTGGATTAAATAAAAAATTGACAGCATTTACAGCGCTTCTTTTACTTTCTCTCACTTCTTTCTAAAGCCATTGCAGATCCATTTAAACATATGCAATCCAGTTTAGTCTAGGCAGCTTCTCTGCCACCACCGTGGTCATAAGAGTGTATCTGAAAGGTGCCAACAGCATGCGTGGGGGCACCTGTGTGGCAGGGTCGGGTTGCAGCACTGGGGACACTGTGCTTTGCTGCCACTGCTGCTGCTGCTAACTCACCGAGTGCGCTCCAGGATGACGCATTCAATGGAGAGTGCTTTAGAGATGGTGGGATGAAGTCATTTCCATCAGGCCTATAAATAACCCACTTTAACTTTAAATAGTGATCGCCATTCCCCTGCTTGTGAGGGCCTACCATATTTTAAATGACAAGATTCCTAGTAACAGTGGTGATGGGAACCAAGGAAATGATCTCTCTCCACAAGGTCTTTTTTTCCCTCAAGAACCACGAAAGTGCTAATTTTCCCTTTACAAATGTTACGTAAAATCTTGATTACAAAACTCCTCAACAATTTAATCCTACCAGTCATACAATCCTGCATTCCTTTTCAGCAAGGTCAAAAGCCAATGATGTAGTCCCTTTGTACACCAGAGAGTCTGTACATGATACCAGTCCACAGACTGAAGTATCACTGCTGCAGTCTTCAAAGAGGAAATGGAACTGGTCAATGTCTGCGAATCCCTTTTGCACGAGAGAAGACCCAAGACCGGCTAGCCGAAACCTGGTGGCCGGGCCCCCAGCCCTCCTGGTAACCCTCAGGACCACCTACTTCGCCATTGGGGCTGGAGGCCACGGCACGGTCAACAGCAGCTTCGCCTGGGCTCTGACGGCTGTCTGCGGAGCTTGAAGCCCTTGCCGCCAGACGGCGGGTTGGTGTCAGTGGAGGGGATTCTCCGGCCTAAAGCAAGGGGAGAGGAGGGAAGGGAAGGAAGGTTAACTTTCCAAATCTGTTCATGCACAGACACAACAGCTTTGCAAATGCAAGTGGACAGGTTTCATTATAAAAAAAAAAGGCTGAATAAACTTAATTTGGGATTTAGGAAAAGTTGCAGAAGTAAGAGAGAGCTGCCGTATACCCGCCCCGCCCCCCCCCACCGTCCCCTAATGTTGAGATGAGGCTGGGTGTTCCATGGGGCATCTGTCAAAGCGCAGAATTTCACATGGGCACATCACCATGAACGGGAACTCCAGACTTCTGTCAGATGCCATCAGTTTTCCCACTAACATCCTATTTCTGTTCCAGACCTAATCGTTTTCCAAACAAGGCTATTGCAAGCATTTAGTGAAAGTTTAAAAAAAGAAAAAAAACTACGCTGTATGTGCCCATGGTGAAGCCTGCCTGTCCCCTCATCTGGTGGCAGGAACCCCCCTTCCAGAGGCGGTGCGTGGACGGGCCGAGGCCACACATCCCTCCCCTCGTCCCACCGGCTGCTCTCATACCACCTGCCCTGGGGACCACACTGGTGCAGAAGTTGGGAAGCAACTGCGTCCTTTTCCCTAGTTCTGTGATGCTGTGCAGGATGGGGATGGTATGCTACAATCCTTCACCACTCCCCAGATGATGGATATTTACTTTGTTTCCAATATTTTGATATTATTAATGATGCAAAAACCATCTTTGTGAACTTATGAGAGAATGTGTAGGATAAATTAGCAGGAGTGGAAGAGCTAGGCCATGCTATACTCCTCCTGGGTATTTATACCACACACACTGTATTCTAGCAAGAACACAAGAAGGACGTGCAATTTAAATTTTGAGAGCTCTCAACAAAAACAAAGTAAATAATCCAGTCAAAAAATGGGCAGAAGAGCTAAAAGAAACTTCTCCAAAGAGAAAATGCAAATGGCCAACAGGCATATGAAAAAATGTTCAATACCGCTTGTAATCAGGGAAATGCAAATCAAAACTACCATGAGATACCATCTCACACCAGTGAGAATGGCACATGTTAAAAAAACTAGCAACAACAAATGTTGGCGAGGATGTAGAGAAAAAGGAACTCTCCTGCACTGCTGGTGGGAGTGCAAAGTGGTCCAGCCACTATGGAGAGCTGTGTGGAGATTCTTCAACCTATTAAAGATAGAGCTTCCATAGGATCCAGCAATTCCACTCCTAGGTATTTACCCAAAGGACACAGAATCATTAATTCAAAAGGGCACCTGCACCCCTATGTTTATAGCAGCACTGTTTACAATAGCTAAGCTGTGGAAACAACCCAAATGCCCAAAATGGATGACTGGATCAAGAAGATGTGGTCCATATACACCATGGAATATTACTCAGCATTCAAAAAAGATAAACACATGCCATTTGCAGCAACATGGATGGCGCTGGAAGGGATCATGCTCAGCGAAATAAGCCAGAAAGAAAAAGAAAAATACCGGATGGTCTCACTCATAGCAGGAATCTAGAAAACCTAAATAAGGGACCAGGGAAGAGACTAATCATAATAAAGTCAAAATCAAAATCAACAAGCAACTATAAACCAGAGACACACTACGGGGGTGTGGGGAGGCGGGAAGAGGATCAAAGCAAGAGGGGGTGGGAATTGTAGGGGACTATAACCAAGATGAAAATGCATACATTGTGCAAAAATGAAAAATGATGTAAAAAATGTATAAAATAAGAAGAAAATAAATTTTGAGAGATGCTGCCAAATTGCTCTCTGAAGAGGCCGAGCCACTTTATTCTGCCAACGGAGCACGAGAATGAACGGGTTTCGCTTCACTGCTCTGTGAGGCATAGAGTCAATTTCGACAGAACCTTAAATCACTCACCATCCACCCCGCTGGTAACTCCCGGCTGCTTCCGGGGCAAAGGCTTTCCCGACACCTCCCCACTTCCAAGTCTCTCCAACAACATCTGCACAATCAGGGCACCAGAGCATGCCACTGTGTTGTTTTATGCAACTACATCCCTCAAACTGGGGCCTAAGCCCTTGGAGGGAGAGGCCCCCTTTCCCCATCTCTGACTTCCAGTCTCTATTCAGCATAACACCTGGCCCAGGGTATTCTGAAGACACGGAAGGAACTAACACAAGCACTTTTTGGCATGAATGGGTGGAGAGCATTTGGCTACTTGGCAGTGGGCATGGTGTGGTAACATACATTTGAAGATTCCTGACTTTATAAACCTAAAACATATAGCATTGCAAACCAACTTTACCTCAATAAAAAATAATCTACTAAAAACAATACAAAGCAAAACAAACAAGGCTGAGATGGAATCTGCCAACTCTCTACACTGGAGGTGCCAGCATATTGAGGGGGTCAGCAAGTTGGGTGGGCAGCACCCAGCATGTCGTCTGCACAGCTAGCAAGAATCCCCCAGCAGGTCCTACAAGTACTGGACACTATAATTAACTTAGAAGCTTTACTGACGCTTCTAATCATTGCATATTTCTCAATAAATGGATGTGGGAAAAAACAGAGCCAGCAGCACAGAGATGTCTGAAATGTTTCTAGAAGCAGAAAACATCTTGGAGACTGGGAACAGGCAATGGCTTCTTTGAGAGGAGCTCAAAGTGCTAACCATCAAGTAAAATAAAGACTGTGTTAATTGGATTATATTAAGATTAAAAAAATTATTTCTACTTCATCAAAGGAATTGGTTCAAAAATGACTGTCAAGCCACAGAGGAGATGTTTCCAATACAATCAACAACAGACTCATATTCAGGATTAAGAAACAGGCAGGTAACTCAATGGCAGCAAAACTTTACAAAAGAAGATATCCAGATAATCTGTGAACATAAATATCCAGAAAGGAGCTCACCTCAGGAACTCACAGAAATGCAGGTAATGACTACCTTGGGGTGGGGAGAGCTCCACCACAAAGACTGAGGGGCAGAAAACTCATTGTACATGTGCCAACCAGACTGAGTCACTTTACCCCTGGGTGGAAACGCCTGCCACAGAGACACACGGGTGGAGGGCACCGACACGAGATGCGCTCACAGAGGTGTGGACGACAGGGAGGAGGTGTGAAGGGAAACAACTACCCGAATGCCCTCCCACATAGGGATAGCCACACTGTAGGTGTTCTCCCCGCTCTGGGTTCTGACACACACAGCCCCATGAGAACAAATCCTGACATGTAAGAAACATCATGCAGTATTAAGTATGTTTAGAAAAATATGAAGTACAAAAACAGATTCGAAGAGGCACAGCACACCCCCCCCCCACCTTAATGTCACCTCAGCTCTTCCACTGAAGAGCTTGGCCTTGGGATGCAGGCCGCTTCAGGACCTTCCTGTCTCCCTCCCCGGGGCGTCGCAGGGGCCCAGCTGCACCACGTCCATGACGGGCGGCTCCAGTCTTGTTTTCTGCAGCGTTTACCTGAGTGCAGCCTCTTACCAAGGTCCATGGTTTAGCAGTCAGGACAGCAGTCCCTGGGGGGCGCCAGGGGGAGGGTTTCTGGGTGCTGCTAGATCTTGATCTGAATGAGATGTACAGCAGTGGCCGTGGTTTGTGAAAATCTCTTGACCTTTATGCTTCTGACACGAGCACTTTCATGTATGTATATCAAATTTTCTTAAAAAATTAGCTTTCTGCTAATGCAATTTTATAGCACCCAGTAAACAATAAACTCAATTTACATAGACGTTTTTCTAATCTTTATGATCTTAAAAACAGGAAGGTTGTGAACTCTACCAACTATGAAAGTCCTTACATAAAAGTTAGTGTGTACAGCTCACTGAGGCATGTGAATCATGGCCTCGCTGGCCAGCACCTGGGGACCCAGGGACCACCCAGCTGGCGGCAGGCATCACCACTAGCTTCAACAGATACCACCCAGGCCACTTCGGGAGAGCTAGTACGAGGCACTGGCATGCTGCAGCACCTGCCCAATGCCGATCTTGATAAACCATGGACCTTGGTAAGAGACTGCACTCGGGTAAACGCTGCAGAAAACAAGACTGGAGCCGCCCGTCATGGACGTGGTGCAGCTGGGCCCCTGCGACGCCCCGGGGAGGGGGACGGGAAGGTCCTGAAGCGGCCTGCATCACCAAGGCCAAGCTCTTCAGTGGAAGAGCTGAGGTGACATTAAGGTGTGTGTGTGGGGGTGTGTGTGCTGCTCCCTGGTAGTTTGAGACCACATGGAGGTTCACTAAATGCCATAAATGCTTTTCTTAAAAAAAAAAAAAAAAAAAAAAAAAAAGTGGAAAATTCTTGTCTGGCCTTCTGTTGCTGGTAAAGAATGCATCTGGGTAGCAGATGCATTTACCACCTGGGAAAACAGTAAGAGCTCGACTTGCTCAGGTTGAAAGGAAGGGCGTGGACTGGAGGCTGCCAGGCAGGCAGTCCAGGGCCACATCCGGCGGCAAGGGTCTGGTGGCCCACGCAGATCGCTGAAAACACTGGGACTAGCGGCCAGCTCTGCACGACGGGACAGGTGACAGACCTCTGGGTCTTTGAATAAACATGGGAGAACACGAAACATGAAAACAAAAGTAACCCAGCGGTTCCCGGCCAGGGGCCAATACCGCAGCGTGGCCCCAACCACTGGAGCTGGGCCCCAGCTTGCCCACTGTGGGGGTCATGTGGGCTTTCTACCCCCTTCTGCCCCTTTGGGTGGTTTGTCCCACTTGTGGCCACCCCCTGCTCCTGCCCGTTCCTCTGTGCTGCCAAGAGTATGTCCAGCTTCAGCAGCCTGGACTTTTAAGGACTCTGTCCAAGGTGGCTGATGCCAGCTCACTCCACACGGGCTCCTGACACGTCCGGGGCACTGGAGTCACCTGCACAGCAGCTCCCTGGGGTCTCTGCTCTAGTGCCTCCTCCTCAGAGGCCTTCTCTGACCACAGACATTATTTTCTTCCTATCACACCTCAGCATCTAAAAGGATCTTCCTTATTTTTGTGCTCACTGTCAGGCATCTCCTGAAGTACTGGCGCTCCAGGAATGAAAGGGCCTCGCCTTGCCCATCTTGTTCACCGCCGCTGCCTCCCCTGAGCCTGGAACTGTCCTCAGTAAATATTTTGATGAAACTGAATAAAATGCATAAGCATAGATATGATCTGTAAAGGACCCCAAAGGGGCTGGCAGCAGCCTCTTGCTCATCTAGCATCATCACATCGAGACCTCTGGAAAGGGATGGGGGTGGGGGTGGGGAGGAGGGCTCCCCTTTTACTTCGAGTATTAATTTTTGAGGGTTTTCTTACAGTGGAATTACACAAGCATTTCATTTCCCTTTATTTATTTTGTTCATTTTCAATGACTCTGGACAACTAATTGAAACACATTTGAAGAGAGGAGGCAGGAGGGATGACAGCTCCCAGGACCTCCATGCCCTGCGCATTATTTATTCAGCAGCAGCGTTCGAGAAGAGCTGCAGTCATCAGGCGGCAGCTCTCCAGCAATTACAAGGATATGAAACTGGCCGCCACACTGACATTCTCAAATCTCATTCCTCTGAGAACAATATCAGAGACTAGACTATTCCAGATGAGGTAGGTATTTTACTCGGCAGAATAATTCTCTTTTAAGTTGCTCTGCATAGAGGAAACCCTGTGGAAAATGAGGCAAGAGATACTCACTGATTTCTATAAAGAGTTCATTTATGTTTATCGCGTTTTTTGCGCTGGTCTCTACAAAAATTGCGTGGATGGAATCAGCGTAGTCCTTAGCATCTCTCTCCATGACTTCTCTGGAAGGCAACAACGCAGATCAGGTCTTAATGTCATCCTCACCTATCCAGTAATTAAGCAGACTCAGGATGACAGGGGATGTCATAATGGCCAGTCACTGAGTCCCGACATGATCCTCCCGATGACACCGCTTCAGTGGTTAAACAAGACAAGACAACACTCCACGCTACTTGCACGACATGCCAGGGAAAGCCCCAGACTGCAGGGGGTTCTTCACCCCAGAAGCAGTCCTTGCGGTGGGAATCACGGAAGTAGTCCAAAGAAATGGCCAAAAAATGTGCCTTCCTTAAAATATGCTTTCCCTATGCAAGCAGGCCATGTCGGGGCACCGTGGGCTAGGCTGATCTCAGACAATGTCGCGTACGATGCAACCAGTACTTAAGCCAGTCACACGCCTGCCTGCATAGATTACCTAACTAGACCTAAATGCTCGGAATCTTCGCTTTAGTTTGAAACTTCAGGACCCAGCCACACTGTAAAAAGGAATTTTTCAACGTCAGAGAGAACATAAAATCAAGATTCTCACATGGAACTCTGTTCAGTAAGAATAGGAACACATAACTGGCAGTGTCGTCACCTCCTGTTCTGGCGACTCACCTGACATCGATGAGGTCACACTTATTCCCCGCGATGGCAACGACTATGTCGGGGGGGCCATGCTGGCGAAGCTCTTTTACCCAGTTCTTTAATGTTGAAAATGTCTCCTGGAACACAGAAGGGGAAGGAAGCGACTGGAGACCTAAGCAACCCAAGGAGACCTTTCAAAAGAGGCTAACGAGCAGAGCCGGGGCTTACCTCCTTCGTGATGTCGTACACGATGATAGCGGCCGCCGAGCCCCGGTAGTACATGGGCGCCAGGGCACGGAACTGCGGAGAAGGGCAAACAACAAATGGGCAAATGGGTTAGATGTGTCTTTTGTTAGACTTTTCAGCCAATGATCCTTGCACGAAGGGACTCTCTTACGCCAAAGGAGATGGCACGATGCTTTCAAGCAAATGAATCAGTGACTACCAAAGGCAACACTTTTAATGGAACACTGAAGTAAGTGCATTTCAGAAGATGGCTCAGAACACGGTTTTCCAGGAATTAACTATGGTGCTACAAACAACTGTTTAAGTTTAAAAGGCTTTTTAATTGGGCTCGATGTTATAACACCCAAATTCATTCGTTCAATAGTCCTTTAAACTTTGGCTTCCCAAACAATCAAGGAGATAAAAGTAATGCTGCAAATAGTTCTCCAGAGAAGCGGCTGCATTTGGGTGTCGTAAAGACAAATTGCACCCCGGAAATGAGCTTACATTTACAGTCCCTACTTGGACGAGTGTGTAACTAGCTTCTCTGAAATCTCACGCGTGGGGCAGCTCCCCAGTGCAGTACATGTCTCCAGACTTTGACTGGGCGTGGGCTGCTCCTTCGCCCCCACCCCCTCACCCTGATGAGTAAGTGGGAGGAAAGAGAGGGAAGGGGACTGGAACAACGATTTAAATAGCAAGGGGAGGTTGGGGAGAGCCCTTCCTCATGAGCATGAGAGGGAGAATGTGAAGCTCTTTCCTGCGCAGCCTGGGCCCAGCACATGTGTGTGCTGGAGGGAGCTTCTCACTCTGTGAACACGACGCGCTGACGTTTACAGACAAGAATTTTACCTACACTTGATCTCTGACTCTGATACCCGGCCCCTCCCTGAGATGCGACACCCCTGCACTCCATGTGCTCTGTCGGCAGCCGGACTCCAGCACCCTCCCCGCCTCCCCCACCAAGAGCATCTGGAGCACAGTGCCCGCCCCATGCAGAGCCAGAGCCTGCAATTTCCTAGCTGGCGCGGTTAGCCTTTGGCCATTACACTCTCACAGGAACATGAGCTTCACAAAGGAAAGAGGCACTCTGACTGGACACCCCGTGAGGGACAGGGCACGTGTGACCTGCACGCCATCCTGTCTCTGGAGCCTAAGCAAGGACTGGTGATAAATGAGTAAGAACATAAGTGTGGGGTGATGCTGAACTAAACGCCAGGCCCAGCTGCTCAGACACAGGATGTATTACTGGCTTTTGTGAGAAAGATCCCTGCCCTGGGGTGAAGTTTTAGAAAAAAAACCAAAAAAAAAACACAGAAAAACAAAAAAACACACATACACACACAAAAACAAAAACCACTGCAGGTAAATACACACCTTCAGAGGATGCACACCTGAGACTTATCTCATGTTTAATGCAATGTTACTTCCTAAAAAAAGGTAAGCAGGATCTAGAGAAATATAGTAAAACAATGCATTAAACGGATCCGTAAAGGCAAGAATCTTAACATCTTGCAGGAAGATGACAATGGTGAGATTCCTAAGCAGACCCAGCCTCCAGTTCTGCTACTACTGAACAGCTCACAGGGGGTCAGGGCTGCACAGCCGCCTGTGGTTACTGTGGCCGAGACGTCTGTGACTCTAGAAAACAAGGTTCTAGTGAGTGGATGTTTCTGAGAAGAGTGGCAGCCAGGAAACGTAAGTCAAGTACTTTAGATACCTAACTCTGAGCAAAATTCTGGCTCAATGAGGACATTGTACAGGTATTTTAAAAGGAAAAGAGAAAGGAAAGCACTGCAGGAAGGGAAGCACACCACAGGGGAGCCACCCCACGGGTGTCCTTAACTTCCAGAATGCACCCATTGGGTTATTTTTTGCATTTAAATGTGTAAGAGAAAATCCACAGAGAAATGCAAAGATGTTAAGTTTGATAAAACACCTTACATCTGGAAAGAAACAAATGTGTTATGCATCTCACCCGGTAAATGCCCCCAAGACAGAAGACAGCTCCATCAACACCAGCAGTTTCCCGAAGCACCAGCAAGCCTCTCCCTGGCCCTGGTGACAAGCCTGACTCCCGGCAGGTTCGCTGTAGTCATGTAACCACAGTGGTTTTCTTTTGCTTCTGCTCTGCACAGAACATCATTTTCCATCCTCTCTCCAACCCGACTGCCTCTGCCTTTTAAGTGGGATGGTCAGCCCTCCACGCCCTGGTACTCGCCGGTCTCAGGCAGCCTTTTTGCTGTTTGTTTCATGTGTGTTTCACTTAAAAAAATCCCGTTCTTGGGCCTCCCCGGTGGTGCAGTTGCGAAGCTGCCCGCAGCCTCTGCAGCGCCGGTTCGATCCCCGGCTGCTCCCCAGCCACGGGAGGAGGGTCCCACGTGGCGCGCAGACCTCTCCTGCCGCCCGCTGCTCCCCTCAGCAGTGTACTTTGTCAGTCTGCCTGCTCTGCTCCCCGCTCTGGCTCTGGTGAATTCTCTCACCCTCCCGTGCTTCTGACTCTACCCAGTGCTTGTATGTATGTATGTATGTATGTATGTATGTATGTATGTATGTATGTATGTATAAATAAATAAATCTTTTTAAAAAAAAAAAAAAAACCCCGTTCTTACTTTTCTCTCCTTTTTTGCATTAACTGAATGCTTTTAACATAGACTTTTAATAATCTGCTCACTGATGATTTAGTTCAATCTTCTTGCAAAGATTTTTATAGCCACCGTAGGTTTTCTCCAGAGTCTACTTGGAGTTTAAAATGCATGCCCTCTGGGCCTTCCCGGTGGCGCAGCGGTTGAGCGCTGGGTTGCGAAGCTGCCCGCGGCCTCTGTGGCGCCGGTTCGACCCCCGGCTGCTCCCCGGCCACCGGAGGAGGGTCCCGCATGGCGCGCAGACCTCTCCTGCCACCCGCTGCTCCCCTCAGCAGTGGACTTCGGTCCTTCTGCCTGCTCTGCTCCCGGCTCTGACTCTGGTGAATTTTCTCACCCTCCCACACTTCTGACTGTACCCAGTGCATGTATAAACAAAAACAAACAAACAAATAAATACATAAAACATGCCTCTACATAAAAAAGAAAAAAAAAGAAAAAAAGAAAATGCATGCCCTCAGGTAAAAGACCAGAACCTCTGAGAGTCTAATCCTCTTGAGCCTACTGTCCCTGGTGCTTTAACCCACAAATACATAGACCCCTGGCGCTTTAATGTACATATACTGTAAACCATACAATTTGATGTTATAATTTTTGCATTAAATACCCAATAATCTTTTAACTAAGAAGAAAAAATAGACGTTTAGATTCACCATCTCCAGTGGTTATTACTTCTTCCTGTGGACATGAGTTGCCCCTGGGTGGCACGTCCCCTCTCCCTGAAAAACTCTGGAACTGCTGCTGAATCCTCTCAGCTTTTGTTTTTCTAAAACAAAATTTCATGTCTGAAAGCTAGTTTTGTTTTTGGCAGGCTGGGGCTCCTACTGTCTCCTGGCCTGCGCTGCTTCTGCCGGGTCCAGCTTCAATCCGCACCCCGCGCCCCGGGCTGGCTCCCCGTCTCTCTCTGCAGCTCTCCGCAGTGTGACCACGCTGGGCCTAGATGTGCTTCTCTTTCTACTTAAGTGTTTCCGTAGCTTCTTGGATTTGTGAATTGATATAGTCCACCAAATTTGGGAGGTTTTCAGCCCTTCTTTCTCAGAGCAGGCTTTTATCTGCGCCGCTTCCCCTCCCCCCTTTCTGCTCCAGTTACATGAGTTAGACTGTTGGACTTGGTTCCTGTGATGCTGAGGCGGTGTGGATTTTCCCAATCCTTTCTTGGTTAGTTCCGTGGCCCATCCAGTGGGTTTTCATTTTAGCCATTACAGTCTTCAGTTCTAGAATTTCCATTTGATGGTTAGTGTCTGCTCTGTGTGAGTTCTCCATCTGTGGTTAGGCAGATAAGATACTTCATCTTTATGTCTCCGAACATATTTGAACCATCTGGGTTTGGTGGCTTCCCTGCTCATCAGAGCCATCTCTTCTGCGATTTGTCTCCTCTTTCCCCAGCTGCGCCAGTGGCCCTGAGCTCTGTCCTCAAATACTGGGTGCTAGAAAGATGAGCTTCCTGCTTGAGTCCTGGGCTGCAGGGACTGGGGAGTGTCCCTGAGGTAGTTAAAAAAATGTGAGTCTCCCCAATGTAGCTACCTTTTCAGTCTAGGGGCGCTGGCTGCTTGGCAGTGCCTTTAGCTGGTTCTTTATGTCCAGAGTTTACTTAGCCATAACTGTCGCCTGAGGGGGAATTAACCCTTTGCTGGCACTCCACCATTACTGACACCGAAACTCTTTCGAAGTTCTTCTAGTATAAAGAAAGAGAAGTGCCAGCTTGTGAACAGACTCAAATGACGCCAGCACCTCTTTGCTCCAAGCCTGGCTCTAATCAGGGGTTGGTAAACTTTCCTTGGAAAGGGCCAGATAGCAAACATTTTTAGGCTCTTTGGGTCATAGGATATCTGTTGCAACTACTTACTTCTATTACCGGGGACTGAAAGAAGCCACAGACGATACCTAAGCAAGCGTGCTTGTGTTCCAATACAACTTTAGATAGCCAAGCTGCAGGCTGAATTTGGCCTGTGGGCCTGCAGCGTGGAGCCCCGGTCTAGATGCCACCTCACTCCACTCTGACTTGAAAGACGGAACAAGTCCTTCCATGGCCCTGGACGATGAATGAGGGCTCCAACTGGGGGATAGCCATTCTGGCGCACGAGCGCTAAGGACGGGAGCAGTATCCACAGACCGTGGTCAGGAAGCTCGTCTCCACAGTCTGAATGCAAGCACTGAATTGCTGTCGCAATGTTTATGGTGCATTTGTGTCACGCGTGCGTGCAGGGTGCCAGTCCGTCCCCTGCTGCTGCTGGAGGGCTGTCAGTGACGGGGACAGGTGGGAAGGTCACTAAAAATGAACTCACTCAGGACAGCAAACAGGGACAAAACGATCTGACAAAGGGCCTATCTTGAGACAATAAATGTGAAATTATGAAAACAAGTTTCATTCAACTGGCTGTTTGAAAACAGGGAGATACTGCAATCAGGAGTTAGGTTTCCTGAATGAACACTGAATCAAAGCTGACTGATAACCCGACTGCAATTTTCCTGATAAAACTACATGCTAACACAACACATGATCCTTCATTTCATGTTCGATTCTCCTGGTCCTATCACAGAAAGGGTAATTTTTACAAAAATATTTGAAGGCGCCATCAGTTTTCCCTATGCCTCTCAACCCTTTGACACACAAATCACTGAAGCACTTTTATCATCATCCTGATCAGTCTTGTTCTCTTCCTTTAATTTAACAAGATCCTTACCATCAGTGGCTTTGCGTGGCATTTGAGAAGTTCTCCAAAGTCACCTTCACCGACTGAGTGAGATCAGTGCAATCACCTGCCATTGGCCCATCCACAGACAACCCGTCTGTCAAAACTACATTCGGTGACAGCTCTGAGGGGCAGTGAGAGGATGTCTGTGTGGGCAGTTCATTAAAAAAGGCTTTCTTTCATTTTATGGTGACTTCTGGTTGTGTGGTGCCTCGCGTTACTACAGGGCACTGAATAATAAAGATGCAAACGCCAGAAATTTATCATTTGAGGCATGCAATACTCACATGGTGAAAGCAGGTGGAGAATCTATCCTTCCTTATCTGAGCCCAAGTTGGCGGGCCAGCAGCTCACGTTCATGCACTGGCATCAAAACCAGGTGCCAGGGGCTGAGAGCTCAGGCACGAGACACCCTGCCCCCAGGAGATCAGTCTACCAGAGGGTGGACAAGGAAGGAAACGGGACACTCCAGGGATAAGGGCAGTGAAGGGCCCATCTACTAACTGGTTCCATCAACACCGAGGGTTGACATCACCCCAGGCACGTGCCAGGCACACAGGCCCAGCAGGGACCCAGGGTCCCAGCCCTCGAGAGTGCACTCTGCAGGGAGAGGCAGTCCATAAAGGCCTGGGACAGAAATCAGACCACATCTTGCAATGGGGGTCCTAAGGAAAACGACTAAGGAGTAGTGATGGAGAAGGAACTGGGGTCCTCTGAGGTATGTGGGGGCCAGGGAAAATGCCTGGGGGTATGTGATATTTAGCCTGAGACCAAAAGGTGGGGAAGGAGCCAGCACAAGTAGAGGGAAGAGAGTCCCATAGCGGAAGAAGGCATGTGTGGCTGAGAGGCAAGGCCCTGAGCATGGCCGGTGGGCGAGCACTGGGAGGGCAAGGGGACAGAGCAGGAGGGCACCGAGGAGAGCGGGTTACACAGGCCTTGCAGGGTTCTGTCGGCCAAGGTGTAGTTGGCTACTCCGAGGAGAGCTGTGGATATTTGACAGAAGTTAACAGAGTCAGATTTACATTTTCCAAAGATTGCTCTGTGTCCTGTGAGGGAGGGGAAGTGACAGGGCAGTGGCACTGGAAGAGCGAAAAGGCTCCAGGAAACCCAGGGGAGAGTTCAAGAGCTGAGAGCTGGTAGGAGAGCTGGAGAGAAGTGAGGACTGAGGTCTATTTAGAAGATGCAGCTGTCAGAACACACAGATGGAGCAGAGGAGGCAGGATGAGCTCTAGACTGGGGTTTGAGCCCCAGGGATGCACTGCCTGCCGGCATGTAGGTGAGCGCAGCAGGGGGAGCAGAAAGCCCCGAGGTGCCATCGGAGGAGAGTCTGGAAGGCCACAGATGTGTTTTTTTAGGTTGCAGCAGCCCCTGGGCAGGAGCTGCTGTCCACTGGGCACTGGGAAGGCTCACGCCAACAAAGGACAAGGGAGAGGAGGAGGGGAGACAGGCGCACCTCGCAGGGCTGGCATGCCTGGGGCCTCGAGGTGGACCACAGGTGGTCAGCACAGCTCAGATGTGACCCGTGTGGTCCCCACAGCAGCTCAAACTACCTGAGATCAGCCGCCAGGTGTCTGGCTTTTCTTAAACACTGAGATCTGGCCACCTGGGCCTGTGCCCCAGCCCGCCGGCAAGGGCTGCAGCGTGAGCTCACCAGTTGGCGCTTTTCCCAATGGTCTCTCCACAGGGCCCCGTAGTAGGCAGTTATTCTGCCCCCTCACCTGCCTGCCTGCTTCATTTATATTCCCTGTGCCAGCTGGGTAAGCGACCGTGCTCTGGGTCGGGTGGGGCAGATCTGCATTTCAGAGTGATGATTCCTGATGTAGAATCAAGTAGAACTGGGAAAACAGAAGCAGGCAAAGCGACTAATTACAGAACTTAGCAGAGCCCTGCTACTCTGGCAGCAGTGGGAAAGAGGCACAGACCCTGGGTAATATTCTTTATGGTGTAGACAAAGAGACAGCAGACACCAGGATAATCTGATTCAGAGCAGACCCAAGTCTATGTTATAGGAGGGCTTTGTGGTAGCATCAAGTATACGAAGGGGTACCTCAAACTGGGGTTCAGTGAAAGGGCATGCATGTCACTCGCATGATGAGCTGCAGGGGCTACATCCCGAGATATATGCAGAAGGCCCTGTGGGCAGGCGTGCTTCTGAAGGATGGGTGTGTGCCGGTCAGCCAAGGTCTGGTTGTCCTCAGTGTCCCACTCTAGGTGGCCGGCAGCAAGGAGGGGTGGGGAGACAGAGCGCAGGGACCACTGGGCACAGGGCATGCCGTCAGGCTTTAAAAAGCCCAGCAGACACCAAGGGAGCAAACCGCAGGCGCTCAGTCTGTGCTGGTCATGGTGTTCGCCTAGGACGGGTCACGCTATTTTGTTTCCCTCCACTTGTCTGGGATGCTTGTCAGATTTTACGCCACGCACAGTATCTACGCTGCCTGAGATAAGGCCGTGACGACAGACTATCTCTCTTGGTTACTTCTGGAACACTTTTAGGAGCTTAAGATAGCACCGGGCATCCATCAGATGTTCTGTTTTGATAGTACTGCTTGAAAACAAAATTAAACAGCAGTTGAGTAATGGAGCGGCTGCCAGGCGCACCTCAACAGGGAAGTCAGGCTCAGGGCCCAGAGGGAAAATGAGGGATCAGGCCAGCGTCTGTTCCCTGCCTCCCTACCCCAGTCCAATGTGGGGGGGGCTTCCAGCCCCCATTCTGTGCCGCGGTGCCGTGGCCAGGCCCTGCTCAGGCCCAGGCACTCCCTGAGGCAGACAGCCACCTCGGACAACTCCATTGTCAGGCCTTTATTAAGTTCCCGTTGCAGGGCACTCTGTTAGCTCATCCATTTCACTTAAATCTCAAACTTTATATGCTGTAAAGTTCCCTCTTTAGCTTTTAAAAGGCGGCTATAAATGAGATGTGCTTAACTCTCCCCTCTCACAACTCATCCTTTTATATCTTTCTGGAGGCGGGAGCCCCAAATTACATACAATGCTCTGAGTGGGACTTGATCAGGCCTGTTAGTCTGCATTTACTTTAAGACACTAAAAGTATAAAAATGCCCTCAGTGCCCATTATCACTTTCTCCATCAGTGGACTTTGCGGCTCTAATTGAAAAGAAAAAGGCTGGCCTACGCAAATGGAAATAAATGTGTCTCCGGCGCACAGAAGAGCAGTGAGTAACGTGAAATGACAGGGACGTCGACAGCTGAGTTGGCGCTTTAACTTGGGCCTCAGAAAAACACATAGTAAATTAAAGGGTGACTTACTCGTTCTTGTCCAGCTGTATCCCAGATTAGGAATTTATGTAGCTCATTTTGGTACTGGACAGTCTTGGTCATAAAAGATGCCCTATAAAGAGAGACCTAAATGATCAGAACACAATTATTTTAAGCAGGTTGCCAGCCCCAGTCGGAAGCATTACCTAGACCTAACTATGGATAACACACCTACTCCCGCTCCACATTGTCCTAACTGAGGCCCTCTCTCGAGTATTCCTGGGAGGCTCAGGTGCTGGTTGCATATCCCGTGTCAAAGTAAAACACCTGCTCAACACAAAGAAGGGCGAGCTCTTCAGCTGTGACCGCTTATGTTCCATATCCAAGAGCCGAGAGACAGTTTGATGATGCAGACATTAGCGTCCTTTGTAAAATATGGAAGTTGTTATTTAAAAAGATGGTATTATGGGAAAACATTCTAGAGACTGTGTCTAGGAAATGAGCATACTAATAAATAGGCCATTTGGGTTTGATCTCCCCCATTCCCAAACCACACGACCACACAAACAGCTGACACCAGCGTCAATAAAATTAAGATGACAAACAAGGAGCAAGGAAGGCAGAGGGACAAGCCACGTCCTAGGGGCCGGCTGTGTTTCAGCTAGAACACAACACCCCCCACCCCCAGTTGCACCAACAGGCCACGCATCAGACCTCAGGGGCTGACCAGTCCACGATGGGAGGGGGATGGTGGCTGCAGTCCACATCGCCCACCGCAAGGCACTCTGCTCTGGGGGCTTTGGAGGGAGGGGTTACTACTGTTTTGGGAGTCCCACATTTTCTGGAGAACCTGAGGAGGCATGGCGGCCCGCGCACACGCCTGGGCACCCGAGGCTCTTGGACAAAGGTTCAGAAGTCCTGCCCTGGGGCCTGGCTGCAGCCTCAGTGCTACCATCTACTCCCCATCACCCAGAACGCTAGCTCCCGCTTGGAGAGTCTTTTGTCTCCCAGTGCCCTTCTTCACACTTCCTGGCTCAGGACCCAGAGAGGATCATGTAGTAGATAATAAGCCTTCTGGGGCCAAGGGCCACGGGGTAACTTGGAATCCTACTCCAGTCATCCCAATCAGGACAAGGAACTCAATGGCTAGACCCTTCCAGCAGGCTGAAAGACTCAACAGGAGATGTGATTGTCAAAAAATCCTGAGCTGAAATTAGTAGACTAACTTTCTAACAATCACTGATTATGTAAGTATCAGAATCCTTACTTTGAGAACCTTAAAGTCTGATAGGGTGAATTCCTGGCAGTTCAGATATAGATTTATGGCTCAGCAAGCAGCCTCCACAGTAAGTGAGTGTGATGAGGAAGGGAGAGCGAGGTAGGAAGCAGGATCACATCCACTGGACAGGTACGCTGTACTGGGTATTTATTTGCTGGACTCGTACCCCTCGGTATCCTCAGTGAAGTGCTTCATGCATAGAAGCTGCTCGATAAATGGTTGCTGTATGACAAGCTTGGGCGATGCACCGTGATTCACTCAATGCGTGGCGTGATTTCTCACTCAGGAAAGACCTAAGTGTTCAAAAGCCTTGTTTATTGTGGAGATTAAGTGATGTAACGTATGTGAAAGTGCTCCGCGAGCTGTAAAGCACTATACCTGCGCAAGGTGCTAGTATTGTTATTTAAAGACAGCTCCAGGAAGTGTTTTAGTTTAGACTTTACAATTAGTCCTAAAAGCTCACAGCTCAGCTGTCCATCAATTACGGCAGGGGCGCTCCATTTAGGGGTGACATCAGGCGCCGGCAGAGGCCTGTTAAGAGAGGCGATGCATCCAGGCATCCATCTCGGCCGCTCAAAGGACAGAAGAAATATGCTTCAAGTGGACAAAAAGCTGAGAAAGGTATAGGCAACAATTAAAAGGAAACGTTTCATTACAGGATCAGCCTACCCGTCAACGTTTCCCCGGTAAGGGAAGCACCGACTCATGTCAGGAGGAAGCCAAAACAGCAAGTGAGACGCCATGGACGTGCCTTCCCACCCCTCACCGTGGGCCCTCCGCACGCCTCCTGCCTGCCCACACGGACGCTCCCACAGCACGCTCCTCCGGGTCTGCGTCAGGGTGTTCGGCCGGCATCACACTGCACGCCGTCTGTGCCCGCGTCTGTCCTTCCAGCTCACCACCCAGAGAAATCCCCGCTGTCTCTCGGACAGCGGGGCCGTGTGGCGACGCCTACCTTGGTGGGCCTGCCCGTCCAGCCCAGCGCCAGCAGGGACCCCAGGCTCATGGTCAGGCCCAGCTCCCTGTCCTTCCTGCTGCCCTCGCTTTTTGCACAACAGCTTGTTTTACCCTCTTAGGAAAAACACCCCCCACACCCGACGTGTTCACCAGCCAACCCTCCAACTTGAGAAAAAAACTTTCAGTCACACTGGTTTCTCCTTCCCTCAGGCCTGGGCTGCTGCCATCTGAAACTGGTCTCTTCCTCCCAGTCGCAAAACCTTCTACTCATTCCTGTTCCTGCCTTCATAGTGACCGTACCTCCCCACCGAATGCCATCCCACTGGCTTTCTCATGGCGAAATCATCCTTATTTTTCAAGCCTTAGATCAATTGCCAAGGGCCACAGAAACCAGCATGGTTTACCCAGGCCAGGCAGTGCCCCACCCCAACTTCTGTCCACAACACGCACACTACCCCATCTTGTCCTGCCGCCACCCACTCCCACATCTGCGTAATGACTGAATGGCTTATTTATGGGTTAAAAAAACTACCTGTTGAGAAGCGGAGCTCGAGGGCCTGGCTATGCTTCCTCCTCTGTAAGAAGGTCCATCTCGCCTTCCTCCTTGCTATCCTAGAATTCTGACAAAGCATTCACTGTGTTGCCCACAAGCTACTCTGCTTTCTGTGACTTCCAGGGTGTGCTCGTGTCACCCTTCCCCAAGCATAAAGTTAACACCGCTACTGAAGGGCAGGGAGCACGGGGGTGCCCCCTTGTAGCACAGTTCAGTCCCCAGCTCCCACCCCAATGTGGGTCCACAGGCTCAGGGGCCCAGGAGCTGCCGCGAACCATCACCATGTCCCCTCCCTCACACTTCTGGAATTCTGCCTAAGGAACAACTTGGGTTGAGTCATGGACTTTTCGAAGCGGCACTTCCCCACCCCCAGGCCCCACTGCGGGGGCTGTGCTAATGTGACCGCACCCCTCACCTCTGCCCCCCAAGCCCCGACCCCCCACGGCTCTTGGTCCTACTGGTGTCTCTGCTGACTTTCACGAGCCTGGCATGTTGGCCTACCACACCTGTAAGCGCCATTTCCTCCCCTCAGCACCAGCCTTCAGTTGGGCCGGCAGTGGTTGACACCACACCCGGGGGGCGTTACCCACAGTCTCTCCCAAGTGGTCTGCAGGGCGTTCTGGGCCAGTCCTGGGGTGGTGGCCTCCTGCAGGGCTCTCCTGAACGAATTCCTCCCCACAGCTGCACGTTTTTTTTCCTTCCATCTTTTTATCTGCTGAGGACTGCAGTTTTTCTAAAGCTCAGCGGGGTTAGCTTAACCACACATCTAGCTGCTCTGTTACCACCTCATACGTCACAGGGCGAGGACAGGTTCATCTCACCACAGCCCCAGTTCCAGGGCTGCAGCAGGGCCACGCCCCTCGATGGGACAGCGACGAGTCAGTCACCACTATCCTTTGCCCTGTTACTTGCTTCCAATTTTGCAGAGCTGTCTGGTGCTTCATTTTGTATTTAATCTACACTTGAACCTCACCCTCTGCAGTATATCCATAAATTGGACCCTAATCTCTGAGCAGGACGCCTGCCATCCCCCCGCCGCCCCCGGTCACGGGAACTCCAGGATGGCTCTTTTACGGTCCAGCTAAATGATGTGGAGGGGGTGATGACTTCAATATCTTGGTTTTTGAAAAACAGGCAGTGGCTTCTTGCCATCCAAATGATACATTTTTATTTTCCAGGCTGCCATTTACTTGTCTGATAACCTTATTTTTCACTGCTAAACCATCTCTCTTCACTCTGCTAGGCAGATCTTATTACCTCTTTAATCTAAAATCCCTACTAGCATTATTTCCTAAAGCTAGAATGCCTTTCATATACTTCTCCATTTCTCATGACATCCTAAAAATATGACTTTCATGCACACCAAGTAGTCACGATCTCTGGCCAGGGTACGTGTTCCCAATGAAAACACCTGCAGCCAGTTGTTCCGAGTCTCCCTTCCTTGGCCGCACAGGCCCTGCTCCTGTCTCGACGCGGGCGCGCCCTGGCGCTGCATTCCTGCACCTCTCCTGGCTTCAAGCCCCTTCCCTGGAGTGGCTTGTGGGCAGGGACGCCTTCCCTGGTGTGTGGTGCCTCTTGAGGATGAACAGCTCACCATGTTTTAAAATGAAGGACCGCCATTCCACTCAGTCCACACACGCGCGGGCCTCAGGTTACACATGGGACAGCACCCGGGCGAGAGATGGGCACCGAAGGCGCAGGAAAGCTACTGCGGGCCTTCGGGTGAGCTGAGGGTGGGCTCAGGAGAGCTAGTAGAGGCAAGCCTGTCCTGTTTTACCACGGATTCCAAGATCCAGAAGTCTGGCGTGTCTCTGCACACGCAGCTACTCCCGGTCTCCAGAGTCACACGCATCTCCAACCCTTGCCTCGGCTCTACCATCTCTCAGGCCAACGATTCAAAGGGTACTTTTTCCCACACAGCCAGCACCCACTGAAGCCACAGGGGCACACGACACAACTTGGCTCCACAGGTCCAGGTTCCTCACAAGCAATCCCGTAGGTAATCTCTATAGTAATGTTATTCAAGAACGTCTGGGAAAAGATTTGAAATCAAGAAAAACATCTCCTCACACATGAAAAATAAAAAAAAGGTAGTAAATAGCTTACTAATCTTACATAACATACCACTGCGCACATCACCATGAAAGCAAATGCACTGCAAGTGTTTGTGGCTGTCAGGCTTGTGACTGTCTTAGCGCCACACGTGTGGCCCTGTTCAGCCCATCCCGCGAACCTCAGGGCGGGCCCGATTCTTCACCTTTTTGCCGACAAGGCAGAGCAGGGGCAGAGATAGTGCTGCCCACTCCCACGGCCCAGAGCCTATCCCTGAAAGCACAGCTGTGCC